AAAAATAAAAATTAATGCATAAACGAAAAACTTTGGTTCTTCGACATACCATTTTTTATTTCAAGTAATAATAACTATTTTATACATTTCATTTCGTTTTTTTCTTTGAATTACACATTTTTGTAACATATACCTACCTAAGCAAACAATGGAACATTAAAAAATTTCAGAGACGTAGCTTAACAGTCAAGACAAGTTTTGCATACCGAAACAATTGTTACAAGTGTGAAGCCTAAAACTCGTGAGTTTGGTTCCTGGAGTTATATGAGTTCGGCAAAGTATTAATAGACGTATGTGGGTGGAATTTTACCAATAACTCGTTTTGTCAATATATTTGAAATGAATGGAAACAATGTTTTTCAAAAATAGTTCAGGAGACACAAGTAGAGGAGCTGACTTAAAAATGTGCCAAACCACTATACCGTACGAGCTGGTTCGCTTATCGGTACGGGGTCTTGGGTGTTTATTATCCGCCCTTCCTTACGCTAATAAAAAACTGACAAGATATTCTTTAACAAAAAATCCTAATTCTTGGGTTTCTAAAAACCTTGTGTCAAAGGCAATAAGTCATGTATGTGCAACATTTTTCCTTCCGTACATAGTTTGTTACGCAAACTAATGTTATAAGAAAAACATTTTTCAAAATGGAATGCACTCCTCGGCATGTTATTATCTTCAAACAACACCGGCAAAATTATCAACTAAATAGATTCGTGTACCTATCACATGAATTTACATTAGCATTTATGTAACATATATTATAGAATACATATTCGTACGATTTAAAAACTTCTGATTATTTTAAAAATAAACGAAAAATATTTTTACTAGTGCTAAAAAATCACTCCGAAATCGACTATAGAGAGATAAATTCCAAAAATGTACCTCACTAACTATTCCAAACAACTAACAAAATATAATTAATTAACTACTCCCCTATATATCAAACATAAATTTTATGGTAAGTGGTATGCGAGCATGTATTACCTTCTTTACAGTATTTATTATATTATCATAAACTGACGCCACTAATTACCATAAAATATTTATAGATATACATAAACAATAAATTGAAGAACTGTTCCATTGGTCACAATGTAGGCTTCAATTTGCACTGGTTTAAAACACATGTTATTAGCGAAGATATGGTGCGTTGATTTCGTGTAGAGAAGTTTTTAATATCCTTCTTATACCAGGCATATATGGCATATTTTATTTTCTTTTAAAGATAATCGTAAAAGGCTGCACCTTTATCTCAGTAAATATTCGAAATATTTCACATTCTAATGCGATTTTCACAATGTTATCTTACATTTTCACTTCCCGACAGCAAGCCAGACTTTGTTACTTTTATCGACAAAATAAGTCAGAATCTGATAATAAATTTAAATAGGTGGATACTTTGGAATTACAATATACTCGATTTATATTACAAGTTGTATATGAGTTTACTTATTGACTTGGAAAAATAAAAACAAAGCACAATTTATGTTAAAATGAAAGATTTTCACAACACAAGTTGTATGTTCTAGAACACGACCTACGTAATTTGGTGACCTAATGGCCAGCGAAAACTAAATCAGAAATTTAAAAATTCACCTGGTATAATATGGAACTACTGGCCACTTTTATGAATTCTCGATATATTATGAAACCTTGAGTACGAAAAAATTGGTGTCCCGTTTTCGTCTGTCTGTCGTCTGTCTGTCTGTGTTGATTTTTATTACACAAATGTTTTCCAAAATTACTAGAGCGATTGTTGTCAAATTTTATACATATGATAGGAATATTGTGTAGATAGTAAAACGATAACCAAAATTTGTCTGATCACGCGCACCATCAAATGAGATGACATACTCCTGCACTTGTGGTTTATGATTTCGTGTAGAGTGATTAGTCTATATAGCATTTAAATTTTTGTAACAACAAATCAAAATTTTTTAGCTACATTTTGCAATTTAAATTCAAAACTGCTATGCAGTCTTGCAAACACTTTAAGGTTATCGTAGGCATGATAAATCGTCAATTAAAATGTATCTGTTTATCCGCTCCAAAAATCACCTATGACGACATCTCAAAATTTTGTTGAATAGATCCTATCTAAAATATTGTGTAAAATAGTATGATTTATAATTGCATTTATTTTTTTAGAATTACTTATACAGAGTGATCCAAAAAAATAATGGATGACACAATATATTTTATTGATCAGTTGATCACATCAAGAACGGCTCACCGAAAACTTGACCATACAGTATTGGTATTATTACTAGACTGCACCTTTTCAATTGATATACGTGTCTTTGCTAAAATGTTGATGACGTTTGCCCAATATTTTATTATGGAAATCTCACATCAAATATACTCATAGCATGCTTCTTTACTTGTACTTTAACAAGTCCAGACCTGTCTTTCTTTAATTTATAATATTAAAAAAATTCGTCAAATTAAATTTTACAATCTTTTGAAGGCTTTGTGTTTGTTCGCCTTCATTTAAGGGCGAAGGAAGTTCTTTATAAATAACTTTGGGAGAAGATTTCTTTAAATTACTTATACAACATGCCTACGAATTTCAATATTATTTATTGTACACTTTACTGGTACAGTTAGTGGGTTCATAATTAATTGTAGCAATAAACTGTATAATAAATAAATTTATGTTTAGGTAACGATTAAGAAATTAGTAAATAAATCTTTGTTCAAAAATATCCCCTTAACAGTGTGTGAATTACAGTACTCCTTTCGGTTATCTAAGACATCATACGCACTTATTTACACAAGAAGATTTTTAGAAGATCATCAAAAATATTTTACTGAAGACGTAGTTTATAAAAATAGGTGATAAAAAATAATTGTAAACGAGTTATACTTGACTTTTAATGTGCATGTCTTTGATAGACTGATACCGACATGTCAAAAAAAAATGACAAATGTAAACACAAAAATGGCGAATATGAAAACAGAATTTGAAGATGCGCCCCTTTGTCAATTGTGACTCTCACCGATGAGATTCACAAGCAAAAATCGGTTGTAAGTATATAAATGCTATTACTCTGAAATCGATTAGTTCCAACTTGGCATCAAGTTGCAAACATCGATCCCTTTTTGTGCTTTTTTACATGTTTTAAAATAACGAAATAAACACGTGACGTTTGAAAAAATTGATTTTATTAACATGTAATAAATGTAAAAACAAAGCCGGAAAGCAAATGTGTGAATTTGAGGTTACGATGTATAATAACTAGGTGTGGATATATGTATTTTTTAAGTGTCATTAATAAAATTGAATTTAACAATGTTGAAACTGCTATTGAAATTATTGAAAGGTTTACCAAAATAATAAAAACGGCTGTCTTTAAAAATTGTAAACGGACGTTAGTGCTTATTGATAAGTCATTTGTAAGCATACATAATTTAAAAAATAGAAAATCAAATTTTGCTAAGAGTCCTTTAGGAAATGTTTGATTTATATTTTTTGTTTTCAATACATTAACACAATGTATATAATAAAGCATATTCTGATTTCTGAAACTACTTTATTTAAAACAATTATGAGTGAATGTGTGCAAAATAAAATTACCTATGCGAATTTAAAAAAAAATCTAAATGCTTGCGTCTAATTAATTATCTATTTAATATTACATTGCTGACAGCACCTGCTTCAGACTTTTAGCTTTGTTCAATTTTAAATTGCCCAGAGAACGCCCACTGACCGATTTTACCCAGATCTACCCCTATTAGTGCAGATGTCAATTAATAAAACATAGCTGTTCTCAACCTCTGACATATTATTCCTACAAAAACATTAGAAAATAAATTTCAGTGTACATACTATTAACAATAAAATTGTAAAAAAAATGCGATCCAAACGATACCCCTCAGTGATATTTTTGAAACTAAGATCGTTAATATTAGTGAAAATAATCACTCTCCATTTAATGAATAAAAGCTCTTGAAATAAAAAAGCTTTTTATTGATATCTACAGCCCGAAATGTCGAATCAAACAAGTAAATAATTTTATTTTCTAGCAGACAGGGTATTGGCACAACAAAAAACAAAAAGAGATTGGTTTTAATAAACAAGCGGGATATCGGTTCTCAAAATCGAAATATTTCTTCGTCTACAAATTGGCCATATATTCTGGCAACGTAAATATTTCAAAGTAGTCGATTTACTTTTTCTCTTTCGACCTTTGCTACAAGTGTGCATATTTTGAGAGAATTGGAAACATGTTAAACCCAACTGTTGGTACTAAGATTGCGTCAATTGATCACAGTGTCGGAAGCCAAGTGCTGTTAATAATTTAACTCCAGATCCAGAGAGTTTCGCCGGAAATGTTACTGGAAAGTGAGGAAGCTATCGGATATTTCGCCTGAACGACTAAACTGGGAAAAATCTTTCCACTCTAACACATATTTTAATTTCTACCGCAGAAAAATCCCCCTCTTAAAGGAATCTCACCCAGTAGGAAAATTTGCAGTCGTAAAGAAATGGGAAAATGGTTCTTGCCTTTTTCTCATTACATACCCATTTTCTCTTTTTTGCAAAGATTAATTTGGCATGGATTTACATTTACAAGCGAGTAGCGTAGAGTAACGAGAGATTTTGAAAAACCCGACGGATAAATAAATTATTACGACAGGTTGACGAACCATAATTTACACGCGTTGTGTTGTAGAACTGAAAAATATTTTTAAATTCAGTACTAAATGCTTTTACCTTCGACCGCGGCTTTACGTAAGACATTGCTAATTTGTTGCTTTCCTAGTATTTAACAAAAACAGAACAATAACATGTGCCTATATTTACGCACGTGGCTTGTCCAGTGACAATTTAATAACTGAAACCAGCATGCGCAATTCATTTTTTATTTTATATTCTCAGATAATCAATTTTATAGTTTTTTAAGTACAAATCTTACACCATGGGTATTACTCGCTGCAATCAAAATATTCCAGCTTCCGAGAATGTCCTTGCTGTTAGTTATGCTTATATATCTTGGTACATACAAGTTCAGAGCGAGTTGATAATCTTGAGTGAACTACGCAAGCCAGACTAACTGGCGACTATATTTTTTGTGTAGTGTCGAAGAAATCATAAAGTTTTAGTGAAACGTAATCTGGAAATTATAAAATAAACAATTTATTTCAGCGTAAGTTAAGAAAGTTTACTATCTTCTTTCATAATTCTGTTAAAACTCTTTTCCTGCACTGTACCTTTCGTTAATTAAACGTGGATCTTACGATGTCTACCTGTAAACTTTCTCTCCGAAAAATTAAAAATTCATTAATTATATTAAAGGCAATAAACAGCTATACTGAACGAACTAGTATGCAAGAATAAACGAAGTGAGCTAATAATTGTAAAATTTACTATGTTGCGTCAATAGTCATGCTGTCATCTTCTTGACAACTTGTTAATGTAAATAAATCAACTTTGTGTTTGATTTATCGTTTGCAATTATGGTACTTTATTTAACTTCAAACTAGGTAGAAGCGAAAATAACAAGGCGAGAAATTTATCCAAACTTGAATATTAATTGAATTTGTACTTTTACAAATTCTGACACTCCGTTTAAACTCGTTTGCAGCAAACAACATGTGCATTAGCCTAAATGCATCAGTTTACTCATATCGTAAATTATGCTCGTTCACCAGCAGGTTGGTAACGAAAAAGTAAATAAGGAAGGGAACCAGTGGAGAATTTCGCGTCTAGACAACGCGCTCCAAATTAACAAACGATAATAAATTTTTGATATGTATGTTCTAATGTAATTTGCACGTATCACTGGGAACGTGATAATATTGTAAGGTAATCAACACAACAGCATGACAAATGAGTACTAACATCATTTTGTAAACAAAATTTTAGCAACAGTAACTGACAACAAATAAATGTGTTTTAGAATTTTTTTTAAGAGGGTTGTGCACCCTTATTTTGAAAGCAATGCGTTTACGTGTGTTGCTAAAACAAGTCATTTTGCACAAGCTGGAAAACACGGTTTGTGCCAGTGGAGAAAATATACCTATTAAGGACGTATTTTTTCTGTTTTTCGATTAAGTAGGTAGTTTTGTCTTAAAATTACTTGGGTGTAATATACAACTTTAAAAAAGTTGGTCTAAAGTTATTTAGGTAAAACTTTTCTCGACCCTGAAATACAAACAATCCTGCGTGTTCAAACGTATTTTTTAATAAGGGTTCTCTTTGTAATTTTTTGCATCAATATTTTAATTTGAATATAATGTGGTAATTTCAAATTATCATGATATAATTTTGTTCTACAAATTTCAAGGAAATTAAATATGTCGCGAATACATAAGGTGTGCACGGTGACCCAGATAAAAGTCCGCGGTCTATTATTTTGAGAAAGGATAGAGATATTGAAATTCTGTAAACGCCATTGCGTTTAGTTTGAAGGGTGAAATTTAATTTAGCACTTTGTAAATATGACGCATATATGGCGACGGCGTCAACCCATGTTTTTTTTTAATTTCAACGTATATATTTTTTCCGAATTTTGATATATCACTAAACTGCCAATACATTGATATAAAACAGTTTTATTTTACAGTAGTAGGTTTGGGGAAAATGTTTTATGTTATTACCATAAAAATAAATCTAAGGACCTTAAATCTTTGTTGTGAACTGTCCGTCGAGTAGGGCCTCTATTACCGATTCAGTTTTCATAATGTATTTTTGAATTGAACCTTTTTCGATAGGCAGCAAAGAAATAGGAGGCAATTCGACCATTTAGATAATTTATATTGTTATAGTTACAACTAATACAACGCATATAGGTGTTTCGTAACAAGTGGGACATCGTTATGGTGCATATTCTCTGTCACACGAGAGATATGAACATAAGGCAAAGATTGTTTAACTTTTATTCATATTCTAGATAATGGCTTTTTGAAAAAGCAGTTGTTACTTGTACGTTTGTGAGTATACAGTAATGAGTCAAGTCTAAAGACGTGGATTGCTAAGCTAAACAAATATACATTACTGGCAATGTTAAAATTGTTAGCTGAACCACCACCATTTTCCGATAGTTTGAATATGTATGCTAAAATAACTACTTTTGAAACAGATTTCGTCCATACAAAATACAGTACGAATACTTTGTATCACTCAACTCTCATTTATTCATATTTAGATATTTTTTTATGAACTGAAAATGAAATAAATGTATCTAAGTGTTGTATGTCATTATAATCGCAATTTAATGGTCTATCAAAATCAATTAAAAAATATAGGTTACATATGTGCGTCATATTTGTAATGTATTAAATTAAGCTTTCCCCTTCAATCTAAAAACAATGGCATTTACAGAATTTTAATACCTCTATCCATTGTCAAGATATAAGGCTGCGGAGTTTTAACTAGAACACCTGGCTATATTGTATGTTTCTGAAAAGACTAAAACATTTCGGAATCTATAAACGAATAGGTATGTATTCAGTTTTAGTAGAAGATGAAAAAAGAGAATTTTATTAATGTTCTCTAATCAAAAACAAGGTTGCCTACTGTCTTTTCAGAAGTTCAGTTTTTTTTTTGATAAATTATAGCAATTTACACATTTATTTTTTGATAATAACCTCGTTAGATTATTACAAAAATACGGGTGGATTATTAGTAGACTGTAGGTGAAATAGATATAATATAGATTTATTATTTAATCAATTCCTGAGATAACATCATCGACTTTCTAGATGGGACTAACGAATAAATTTTGATCTTCTCCAATCATAGGTAATCAAAATTTCAAATTCTGCATTTTGTGAAAATATTATCAACTTTTTAGTGGAAAGCAATATATCAATTGTGATAGGTATGCCGAAAGATAGATTTTCATCCTGTTGACTTACTTGTTTCAGTAATAATAATAATAAAATAAACCGTTTTTCATTTAATAAAGAAAATAAATTGCTTCATCTACTTATTAATTTATGTGAAACAACTTGCATAATTTTGAAAAATAAAAATATATTATGCAACAAGTGTTAATACTCAAGAACTCTCCCCCAACACAAAGAATGCTTAATATAACTAAGAACTATGTAACCAGCTTTCAAACAAAAAAAAAACGCATTTAAATTGGTATTTGTTTGGGAGTTAGAGTTCCACCGACAGAAAAAGATTTAAAAGTTATAACACCTCTATTTTTGCGTCGGGGTTTAAAAATGAAGTTTCTCAATTGAAATGCCTGTACTGCCTGTAGCTTCGACCATATAAAGGACGGCAGTTTTGGATCTCTAGAACATGGTGCGTCTTCAACGGTTGTTCGCCCACATTTGAACTCATTAACCCAAAGAAGAGTGACTTTATAAAAAGAATATTAATAATCCAATGTAGGAGAAAACTTTTCATAGATTTCCTTCGCAGTTTACCTTTCTGAGGAGAAGAACTGAATCGCACTACCAGTTGCAATTTTCCACATTAAAAAAAAATCACTCCACGCATTAGTTCTTAATTAATTCCTAAACGAAGAATTTCTGACAGAATGACTTGACATATAGAAACATCATCTATGGGCAATCTATTTGAAGTCTACATAAACAGCTGTTGCTTTTTATCTTTCACCCTCCAAGACTATGCGAACCAAGTTATTCATCAAACCACCCTCATAACCTTCCCGGTTAAACCATCTTCCGAACCGCATTGAAATCGATTCATCCATTTGGGAGCTACGATACAAAAGACAAAGGACAGACAAAAATAGCTATTATAGATGGCTCAATCATAATGATGTCATTTATGACACTTACAACAGTCCATAATCTACTACTTTATTGGATTGTAAAGTAATTTGGACTCCAGCTCAACTTGTCTTTGACGCAATGTTTGGCAATGCGTCTAAACTCATTTCTAATGAAAATCGGTGACAATTCAACTAAATTTTACGGTTTAATTAGCTAATTCACAAGTTGAAAAAAATCATTTGTCAAACAATTGAGTTGACTGCGACAACGGCAACACCTACCTCGTAAAAATTATTAATAGTTTGAAGCAGATGTCAAACAGTTGGAGAAAAAAATGCTTGTCTTGAGTCAAACATAAAGCTATATATGCAACTGCAAAAAAAAAAAAATTAAACTCATTAAAAGAATGTAAATATGTATATGCTATATCGTTCATATTACAATAGATATTTATTCTATTAGGAGCTTAATTGATAGGTACTTGTGACGGAGTATAAACGGACGATTAAATGCCGAGCGATAGCGAGGCCAATTAAGTCCATACGAATCACATAAAATCACCTACACTCCGAATGAAATGCAACGATTAACATTAGAATTATTTTCTGCCTTCTTGCTTCATTAAATAATTACTTTGAAATTATTAACTAAACTTGCATTAACTTACCACTGTTACTACGGTCGACAACCACAATGATTTTCATTTAAAAACATTTTCAAACTCTCTGACTAGTAAACCCTCTCAACATCAGAATGTCTATCATTCTATCATTACACAAAAGTTTAAAAAACTATTATAATTTTCTTTTACACATTTCAAAAATTCATTTTTGCTGTACTATCAGTATTGCTCCAAAATTGGAAGACTACCAGGTAATGTTATTGATAGATATTTACAGAAACTAAGAATAATAATATAACTTGTAAGACTTTCCTTTGATACATTCAAAGATTTATTTGCGCACTAATCATAAGAGACTTCACTGTGGTATAGTCATGACTTGGGATGGAAAATATTCGTTGATGTCGACGATGAGATGGCTCCATCCCTGAGGACATAAATCCACACAGTGCCGGTTGTTGACAATACGACGAAGGTGCAGTGACCCTGAAAATGTCAATGCAGTGTCTACAGTTCAACCCCAAGGGATACAACTACTCTGAAACGGAGCAATTTCTCTGTTAATTAATTAATTTCAAAATCATAGATCTGTAAACTTAAGGTGCTTAATTAATTATTTTAAGTAATTTCGTCTAATGCATAAATAAAGAAATGCATCAGCGCAGATTGGTGGGTTCGACATAAGTACAGTAGAGTTTCTCAGATACTGCAAGGTTATATGGCCCCACTAAACTTAATAATGAGATATTATAATTTTCTTTGTGCGGCTGGTTACCGGTTCAATCCTAGCGTCATAAATCAACCATTTATCTCAATATCTTGTCATCTCAATATCTACTGCTGAGTAATCCGCTTAAATATTTTTGCCACATTAAACCAACAAAATCACAATTTACAACTGTGGGTTTACCTTATTAACTTCACAATACCCTAATTTTACAACAGCCATATGACCTTGTAGTATCTGAGACACTATACATAAGTATGTAAAGTGCACCAAAACCATTACACGTTATGAATGCATTTACTACAGAATAAATACGTTCCTAGAAAGGTACAAGGGTAGCAACTAATTTTGGTTGACAGCTTCGAAAGCGTCTGGAGATTTTACAGCGGCAGTACTCATAATTGGAGTCATTTGCATTTATCTTTTGGCGGACTTTACATACCACAGTACGCTAACTGAAAGGGCCAGTGGAACGTAGAGTGTAGTCGGGAAACATTCTAGTGAAAAACGAGGTTTTTAATTTTTGTTTTTAACGATGAATTGCAAAATAAAATCGTCAGGATCAGTCAACTTAAAGTAGAGTCACGTTGGTGTTTTAAAGACCGCTACTCTTATGTTATATTGTTTACTACAGGGACTTAAATTTGGCAACTCTTTTTTATGACAAAAAATTCAAACAAAATTCATTATATCAGTGTGCTTGCTTATTATCTTAGGGGAAACCGATTTCGATAGATTTAGATGTTTTAAATTATTCTTGGAAAAAACTACACAACAATTATATTTTCAATTCAAAATTTTTAGCACAAAAAATTGTTATCGATAAATCTGTTAAAAACTATATACGGATATTATATTGACTGTATTCAGGAAATAAAAATTTAAGAACATATTTAATTAAATTAAATACAACATCACAAATGAATTTAACGCAATACAAAAAAAAAAAATTTACAATTAGTTGACGTAACGACACAGACAAATGTCTAAGATTTAATTCTACCAAAAATTTGAAACTTTTCCTCATCTGATGAGAATAAGCTAAAGTTAATTAAAAAGTTGATATTTTGAACCAATATTTTGTACATGAATTTGACGATAGGTTTTGGCTAATACCATAATAAATTAATACGATAATACAATGAACGAAAACGAATGATATATCAGTACTTTTTGGATATATTGGTTTTTCTATCGGATTCTGTGGAAATTGGAGTATTTATTAATATCCAAATTTTACTATATATTTATAGCCCAGTAAATTCACCGTTAAAATCGGGACAGCCGTGCATTTCCGGTAGGCAAGGATTATCTGGCGTCTGTATCCATTTTTTAGACATGTAATTTCCGAAACTGGTGGACCGATTGTTGTCAGTCAAATTTTATACGTATCTAATTAGAAATATCATGTAGATTATACAACAATATACTCTTATATTTTTTTCCTGACCGTCTTGCTCTTTCGTATTATTCTCTTATTCTCTCGCGCTGTGTTCTATCTATGTTTATGACGTCAGAACAAATTTTTTATTGATCAAATTAAGAACAAGTTACCCCACTTTCTCGAGAAGGTGAAAATACGCCCGTCTTTATTTCATAAAAATTATAATAATAATAATAATAAAATTCAGACATTCTGTTCGACTGTGGCTTAATTCATAATTTTAGTCGGTCCCTGTTTTCAGGCGACAAAAATTTCTACGTGACATTCCTCCGATGTGTAAACAATCACTTCAAATTAAACCTATTGAGAGGCCATTTTTTCCAGTTGATTATCTGCTTCAAATATATTTTACGGCGCAGGAGGTACAGGGGCGTTATTTATGCCGCTGGTTTTTGCTTTATAAAGGTTATCACAAAACAAACATCGCAAAATCTAGTTTCAGAATTTTTCAAAGAAGCGGGATTTGTTGGATTTGTAATTCAGAAGAGAGGGAAGTTCTGTCGAAATAAACTTCGACTAATTTTTGTTATAGGTGTCATAGGGTGGTAGGCGATGAGTACAAAACTGAGTTTTCGGGACTGGGGGTGCTGTCATTCGGCTAACATCTTGAAAATAAGAAGAGTGCAATTTGGTTTTTTAATTTATTTCTGTAACTGTGAGTCTGACACAAAGATTTTAAAGGAATTTTTTGTAGATAATATCATTATTTATAAGCTTTATTCATAACTTTTTATCACAGCATTAACAATAAAAAAGTTATGGACAGAAAAATATAAAAAATTATGAAAAAACATTACATTTTCAATATGAAATTAATTAACATTTATAAATAGCTGAAAATGTTCAAATTGCCGGATGAAAAAGTTTTTTCAAATCAATTTTTTGCTAGTTCAAAACCAAATGTCAGAATGTGCAAGCTGCCCCCTCATATACGAAGAGATAAAACTCTAAGATTAAAATTATAAAAACTTTTCGTCCCTTAATTTTTTAAATTTTTTTGTTCGTAACTTTTTAAATATTAACGTTACGCCGAAAATTTATTAACAAAAATGGTAGGTAATAAAAAGATATATACAAACACTAATTGCACCTTTCTTTTCAAGATGGCGGCCAAAATGCACGTTCTCATGATGAATTGACTGTATTATCAGTCTACTTGAAGGAGTTTGAAAGAGTTTACTCCTAATTTTCTTATTTCCTGTTCACCCTGTTGAAAAATAATCTTCAAACAAAAAACCGTACAGTGCAAAATATCGTACATTCAGAATTTTAATTTTAGTTGACCTAATGATGTCAACCTTGATAAATTCAGGCGGTAATGTAAATTAACATGGACAATAATGATCCACGGAGGTCAGTTTACAGACGATTTGTGCTACAAATAGTATTCTCAAGATTATTAAATGGTAACGAATTGACGATTATCACTACATTTCGTTACCTTTGCTTATTCCCAGTAGAGGAAACCTTCTCCTATAAAAGGGAATAGCTGGTGTAGTTATATCCTTAAATCAAGCATAGTTTAGAGCATGTCTAGCTTTTACGACTTTATTATGGCCGATAATTTCATCTCGTAAATTCGGCGCCGTCAAATTAATTTTTGATCGGAACAGTGGCTTTCTCTCGCATAAGCGAAATAAAAGTCGACTGCTGTTTATGTGCGATACTCACCCTGTAAATAATTTATGTCATTCCGTATCCCGTTTGGTTGTTTAGTTTGCAATATTCGTCCGCACTCGACGGGGCGTCTCTGCATCTCTCAGCAGGCTGGCAGTTTCCTGAAATGAGCTGCTCTCTCCGACGATGCTATCGTTACTGGATTCAATTTTCACAACGTAACATGGTTAAGAGAGAGATTCGTGTCTGGAATATTGACTTTAGGACTCATAAAGTCTGGATTTCAAATAGTTCCATGCTTCTCGATATAATTCCAGGTTTTCATTACTCTATTCAATTCATAAGGTTTATTTTTGTCTCCAGAGCACGTCCGACCTAACTCCATTCGCTTTAATAACATCCACCCTACCATGTGTCATTAATACATTATGCAAGGACATACCTCAGATGGATATGTCATGTCAAACCGATTTAAATTTTTTATAAAGCGACGACGTTTCTGCCGTTTCGAAGTTTAGCGGATCGTCTAGACTCTAGACCATACGGATTTTATTGCAGGCTACAGATGCCGAACACAATAAAATTGCTCGTTGTTCTGGTTTTGTGTTCCAGGTAAAACATGTCCACCTAAAGTATTACTGTTTTTTTTTTTTGTATAATAGAAAAGAGCAATGTACTGGACAAAAGTATCCATTTTTACTCTCTAAGCGGTAGATAAAGGATGTCTGTTGACAATTCATAAGAGAGATTTATCCAAAACTACCAAACTGATTAATGTTGAATCTTAAATGTACCGTAATAAAATTAAGGCGATTTTGGTAGTAGATTGATCAAAGATTAAATATTCACCTTGTCTAAAAAACTGAGTCATAATAACTTTATGATGTGTACTACACATCAAAATCAATATATTTATCCACACCAAAATACTAATGAGGTCAATAAAAATGACTAAAAAATGTTTACTGACAAATATGACCTGACATTGCCATTTGTTGTATTTCAGAGGCACAGAGTTTTTAAATAAACTGAGAACATTTTTATACGCCTGCTAAAGAAGCTTCAAGATTCCAACGGTGATCATTGTAATACTTCTTTCACATCATTACTTTAAAAAATTACATGTTCTACATTGAAATACGAAATTCGCATCCACAATTGGAACCCTGTAAACATTACTTTATTGTCTGCGAATCTTTGGCTTATTTTCCTTGAATCCAAAAATTTAAATTATCTAAGTGTAAGACTGACGGTGTTAGTAAGTTTAAGAGAGAAATATATCTTTGGACCTGAGACATAGTTACTTAAGTACAATCACTGTTAGACTACTAAAACAATTCGTACTACACGCTGTTAGAATTATAAATTAGGTACCAACGTGACATTTCAGTGACGACTGCTAACCTTACTGTTTCCTTAAAATGTTTTGTAGAATCTTCCCAAAAATATTGTCAGTGTCTAATCTTCATCTAAATTATAACCTTGATCTAACACAATTTTTTTTACAATATTTTAGTGGGAATTTACGTAATAAATAAATGCCATAATTATTATCAATAAAATATTCTGTAAAATTGTATTTACTACTGATTGCAAGCAACGTACGTCGAGTAAGTTCAGTTAAAAAAAAATCATTCATAAAATATCTACAAACTGTTTTAAATTACTTTTAAACTAATATAGATATTAAATATTAAAATAACAACAATAACTACAAAAGAAAACATGTTGATAATTCACTTACCTTTTTTTTTTTTAGAAAAATGTCATCCTTGAGCATCATTACAATCCAACCACTCTTGGCCTTCTTAACCCATTTACTGGTAATTCGTGGCACCTACTCCCATTGCGATAAAAGATTAATCCGTAAGTAAACAACAACAGTATTAACGGATACTTTTCCCGTTGGAAACAGATTAATTAGGTGATAATTTCTTCGGTGGCGCTGTGTTAAATTAGAGCCCAACATTTTAATAGTCTATTAAGTTAAATACCAAAATGTCATGATGAAAATTAATGATCCGTCAGGGTTTCTTGAAATGTCTTTTATCCACATGATTGATAGCTTCATTACGCCGGATTAAGATGTCAGTAAATCAACAAATTATCGTGGCATTTAACAATTTGTCTTCGACGAGAGAAGACCTGCCATCACCTATGCTCGTTCGCTTTTGCCGCACCCATTGACCCATTCAATCCGAAGTTATGATAAAGAAATTTGTTTGCGAGTGAAGAACAACAGTCTAGATAACTCGTGATGGCACCATTTGCATATCAAAAGAAACGCACGTTATTGAATAATAGACACCTCGATGCTGAAGAGATATTTCCGCTATTCTGGAAAACGCGTTGATTCAAGTCGAATTCCATCCAAACGGCATAACAGGAACTTATAAAGTGGTATAAACAACATTTTGTGAAAAATATATCGCAATATTGCAATACATTCATACAGAATGAAAGTGTTCTTACTGAGCAATAATAATATTATTAATAATAATAATATTGATGGTAATGACTATGATGGTGAGGACATTAATAAGTGGGATTGACCTTCAATAATCTTGGATTATTATTAAAGGTATTATCCATATTACCTAGTATCTCATTGTCAGTTCATATTAGTGTAACGTTAAAGATAGAAATCCAAACCCATCACACGGTAAGTTTTTGAGTTTGAGTAGTACTTCGTTGGCTTCATGGAGTCTTCATAATTTTAACAAACCAGTTCTTACATCGTCAGTATATTTTTCTTGAACGTATTCATCAGAATAAAATGTGTTTTTATTTAACGAGAAAACTGCCGTCTCAAAATTTTGAAAATTACTCTGTTATATGTGGAGTGTCATTAAGTTTTGTTTGTTCTTTAAAACTTAAAGTTAAATAAACTAGTACTGTCTCAGCTGTTTAAGTCGGAAGTATCCTTTTAATAAATATCTCCATAATAACTGTAGCCATCACACAAAATATTGAAAATTTGAGAAAGCCATGTGAGTAAAAAATATCGCCATTGGGTCAACCAAGTTTTCAAATATCCAGCTTTTCCAGGCTGTTTGTTTTTGAAACAGTTTTCTTTCTGAAACAAAAAATTGATCGACCATTGTTTTTATATCATTCACACATCAAACAGTATTTGTTTTTTGCCATAAAACTGTTAATCGATTTTTTGAAGATTAAAGTTATGTTCAAAATTAAAAAAATATATATAAAAAAAATAAAAACGCATATGAGAATAATTTTTAGTTTTGTGACTATGTAACAAATTTTTCCAAAATTTTGGAAATCATGATTTTGAAGTTGGATGAAATTTCCTCTCATTTAATAACTGCAGAATACTGTTGTACTTATTTATCAATATTTCATAAACTTTTCATTTAAAAACTTGTGTTGAAGCAATAGTTTTAATTTAAAATATTACTCAAATTTGATTGTTTTGTTCTGTTTTATTGCAGTATTTCTGTATAACTGGAATTTTATTTATTAAAATATGGATGACAAAATGTTTTATTTTTACTTTTATATTGTGAAAAAGTTTATTTTACGATTTGTCCAATACGAAAATGCTGATCTCTTTGTTCCGTCCGTCTGTCTGTCATTGGTGACTTTATGAGACATATAATTTCCGAAACTTCTTGAGTGATTGTTATGGGATTTTACACAGATGTTATCATAAAAAAATAAAATGTACAAAATAAACTTTTACAGTTAATATAAAAAACTGAACTTGTTAGTGCATCAACGGGAATAAATTTCGCTCTGAATAACTGAACACCATTTTTTTGCAATTTCTTTATTTTATATGAGGTATAAAGTTTTGTAATATGATCTTAACTTCACACAGCAAAATGAATAAATATAATGAAGGAGAAAAATATTAGTCATAGATAAGTCCTCACGAATTTATATTAAAGGATGGAATATGGGTTCTTATAATTTAAAGAACCTATAACACGTGGAGGTACGTAGATTGCCGTTAGTTAGAGTAATTTTTATGAAACATGAAGCTTATGTTTTTTTATTTTTAATCAGACAGCATCATATGAACTAATATACTTATTCATTTTCATAGATACTGGTGTCTCAGAGGAAGAAAAACAGTCCATTCTAGATGCCCACAACAAAATGCGACAACGTGTGGCTTTAGGTCAAATTAATGGGCAACCACAGGCATCAGACATGATGACAATGGTAATATATTTCGACGCATTCATCGATCGGCTTTACATGCAAATACAAAGCGTGGATGTTCCATCTCAGCTTAGTAATCCAGAAAATTACGTTCGGTATAAAAACAAATCCGATGGACTTTATTTAAATAATAAATTTAATTTCATAAAGTTTATAACAATTTACAATAGCCATTCTGATTTTATGTTTTACAAATTAAATATTTTTTTATATATCCAATATCTTTTTTGAAACATTTGTTATAGTAAGGACAAGTTTTTATACATAGAGGTGAGCTTCCAGCCTATTTAACCAATTGATCCCTCAAATTTCAAAAATATTTTGGTCAGTCCTAGGCAGCAGTCATAATAGGTTGCGTATTTTTAGTGTAACATATGTAATTTAGCTGCACTATCAAGTATACTGAATAATTCTTAATAATAATACATACTCAAAAACCAATACTATATGACCAGTTGACCATAATATCAAATATTGTACATTATATTGATTTAAAAAAATCGTCCTTGGCTACTTGTCTAAAATGTCAGTCCCCAGTGTATATTTTCACATTAGAATGATACTATTTTTTAAACTATTAAGTTTATACAGTTACTTTTAATTTCTATGTATTTAAAGACACAATACGAAGTGTAAAGGATGAATAAAATTTAAATAAATAACAATATTTTTCTAGTTAAAGTACACAACATCGGTCATCAGTCTCTTGTCATATATATAATATAAAAATGTATAGTTTTTCAAGTTTCTAAACTTATTACATCTGTTCTATTTCTATATTACTTGAAGTTAGCAGCGAACGTGTTGTGTTAAAATTTCTGTCCCTTGGTGGCTAATACTGTTGTCATTTTTTGAGGACTGCTTTTAATAAGCTTCTATTTTAATGTCTGTGTGATGTTAATTGCATGATAACTAAATAAAACTGTGTCCCACTTTAATCAGGAGCTATTATTCCTTTTACACGAAATTCATCAGTCCGTTGTTGTCAGTCGCTTAATGGTAAAAGTGATTTATGTATTTACGTTTGGATTTTAATATTGAAGAAAATTTAAGTTCATTTTTGTTATTTTAATTTTTTATAAAAGTACGAGTAGGTACGACTTAGTAAAGCTAAAAATAATAATTTTAATTTGTTTAAAATTGCTTTAGTGCGGCAGATATGGATGAATATAAAGATACTGAAAAACAATGTATAATAATAATTAAACTCATTTAAGTGTATTTTGTTTGGTTATTTAAAATTGATAATATTAAAATGATTAAATTAGTAATAAAGTAAATAATTTTGTAATAAATTCGATTTTTCCTCAGTCTCTTTATATACTTGTTAGTTTCTTGACACCAAATTTTACAAAAATCTTAATATCTCCTGAAATAATTTATAAAGTGACTGTTCCTTTCACATAATTTAACCAAGCCATTAGCCATCAAAAGCTTTACAACGGAACATAATTTTAGATAAAAAAACTCGTAATTCTAATTCACCTGATATGTTACAGAAGTTTCATAGAAGTACCCATTTACAAAGAGTTTGTGAAAATGCCTGGACGAAAGCTTATACGTTGTCCTCGTCTTAGTAGATAAAGACGGTTTCCTAAAAATCATTCCTGAAATAAACAAGTCCCAACATGTAAAATTCTACTATATTTAAAAAAATTCACATATATAGAAATATTTGTACATACATATATGCAAAATAATGATACTTATTGCATATTTAAGATTGTCTTAATGTGACAAATAAACGGTTTTATATTTTTAAACCCTTTCATATAATTTTTTAGACCTGGGATAACGTGTTGGCCGCACAGGCACAAAACTGGGCCACCGCTTGTACTTATACAGTACACGATTCCCACCGTCATCTAGGTAACAATTCTCTTATTTTTTACGTAGTATTATCTATTATTATATTATTTTTTAGAAGCATATTTTGTTGGACAAAATATTGCCACAAGATGGACTACTCGAAATCCCAGATCATTCCATGACGCAAAACCAAGCTGGACAAAGGATGCTATGTCACCATGGTTTTCTGAACACCAGATGTATAATTTTGAACCGTTTACGCATACACCAGCATCCCATTACACACAGGTTAGTTAAGCAGTTACAAATACATGTAATAACGAAAAAATATAAGTTCCAAAGTTTTCAGCTGTTGTTCGCAATGAAATCATAAAAATGAAATCTTTCTTCATATAGCACAATGTGAGAGAACGAATAAAACATAGTAATAATTTAGTACATTGTCAGAATTCCAGTAATAGTAGTCAACAATTAGCATAAATCATTAAAATTGTCATTCATAATTGATGCTTTTCCTCTCCATAAAAAGATGTCGTAAAAATAACTACTTCAAATGAAGAAACTTCTAACAAACATAATCAGTTGCGCAGTTTTTCTGAAATTAAGGATCTATTTGTCTTCCTGTAATTAACACCAGCCTAGGAAATAAATTATACATATCCTAATCTATGACTCATATAATAAATTATTATCATGTAAAAATAGGATTCCGCTCACTCTACCTAAACGCACATAATTAAAACAAATATAAACTGTGATTTGAAAAGATAAAATAGTAGCAATAAATCAGTAACAATTAATAAAAAATTGCATAATAAAATTTACATAATCCTGTCGTTTATTAATGTATTCATGTAATGTAGTTATGCTTACAAGCGGTCATTAAGAATATCAAATTCCACCAGCTGAGATTAATGTCTTCTCCAAGCAAACGAGCAGCACATTATTGGATTTTATTTCTTTAACGTCTTATTTATTTGATTTTTACATCATGATGGCATCGAAAATCTTGTAAAAAACATGTTCGGAATGAGTTATGTAAAAACAAGATGACATTTTCTTTAATGTGTTAATAATATAGTTGTATGTGCTTTTTAAATGTAAATACAAACAAGTTCTTTCCCATTTGTTCGATTTTCTTGCCCCTAGCCAGTAAGAAAAACATTTCAGAGTGAGTGCTTATTCACCAATAATGCCATCTCTCATTCACTAGGGACTTTCATTGTTGGGGGAAATATCGAATTCCTTTTCGGACTGTCTAAGAAGTTTTAGAGCTAAAATGTTATTGAAACAAAAGATGTTTTATCTTTTATGAGAACAGAAATATGATTTTAAATCGGAGAATCAGCTTTTTGGGTTAATCTTTGTCTTTTGTAAATTTTCAAAATCGCTATCTGCAGGACGCAACGAATTTAAAAGCCAAATTTTATCAATACAATTTTTAGCCAAAAATAATCGAAAAATACGTTTCACTTTATTTAAAAATTTAAAAAGATTTCAATAGTAAGATCTAGGAAAAAGTACGTAACTATAAACTAACACATGACCTCTAGCCATCCTCGATAAAACTAAACAGAGAAAAGTGAGGAATGGGATAAGCATTAGCTATAAACGCATTATAAAAATATTTTTATGGTCTACAAATTAAATTTTTCCACGTACCTCTTTTCACTTTGATGAAAACTGAAGTTAGCAAGAATATAACTAAGTTTTCATGTGTCAATTGATTGAAACTTTAACCTACCAGTATTTTTAATCAGAACTGGTAATTTTTTGTTATTCTGTATTTATATTGCTATATGAACCTGATATCGTCAAAATAATTAAAATAATAAATATTGTAAATAATAAATAATTAATACTAAAAACATATCTACAACAAAAATATTACAATTTCCTAGTAAACAAATTTTGCTTTTTGTTTCAAAATTGTTACGCATATATTCTTCAATACTTGTAGATAAAACATAATATTTGATTCGCCTTCGGCTCGTTATGTAAATTTATTCCTCGTGTAACATCACTTCCATTACAACTTCGTTAAATGATACACTACAAACACCTGTATAGAGAACAAAACACCACAAAAATTCCACAAACTAAATACCAGACAATTTTGGTTTCGCTGGAAAACGTTGTGTTTTAAAGGAAACTTTTTTTAACTTTTAAAAAATATTGTTTTCTCAATATTGTAACATAAATTTAGAAATTGTTTTTAGATATTGGAAATTTATTAACAATGTGTTCCAACAATTGTTAAAACAATTATAACAGTTGAAAATGACTGGAATGATAATTTTATTATTCATCAAGAAAGGTAACAAAGGTTCGGATATTGGTCAGAAGTAATTATCCAAGCGTATTTATTCAACAATCTGTTATGCAACCTATTGTTAATTTTGTGTTATTGTTTTCACAAGGGAATAACGTTTCCACGAAAGTTAAATAAAATGTAATCCTATTTAAAAACCAAATTTTTCGCCAGCCGTCTTAAAAGATGTCACTTTTAACGTCAATTTTGGACGGAAAACTTGACGTTTTTGTGAGAGTAAAAAAAAGTTGCGTTACTAAAGTAACAACGTCATTTTTGCCTTTTTAATCCTAGCATTAATTTTTTTTTTTAATCCTAGCCTTAAAAAGTTTTCAATTGTTTTATTTTGAGAATGAAATGCTATTAATATTTTCCAATTTTATTATTAACTTACATTGTTATTAATTATTTAAATTTTAAAATTAATATTGAATGTACAATAAGAACAACTGCGATTGATTTGGATTAAAGATTTTCCGTCACTATTATCATTTTTCATGCGGTCAGTAATAATATTTTGCGCTAACACTTCTACCGCTCCTGCTGTCTGGTTGGTCACAGTGTCAAAATTCAGGTTTACTGCTCCCACATTCCTACTTATTCCGTCTTCACGTGTGATCATTCTATTCGTAGTTCCACTACTTGTACCTGATTCTTCTAGGTTTACTTCGCTCACATTCCTATTCGTTGCGTCTTCATGTATTTTACTTGTGGTTTCACTACTTGTACCTGGTTCTTCCAAACGAAACATTTTTTTTGCTACATCTTTTTTGTGTTTAAGAGACTCTTCTATGTAACCTTCGGCTACACTGTCAGATTTCCACCCACCGTGCCTCTTGAGGGACGTAATATCACCGCCAGAATCCACAAAAAGCGTGGCAGAAGTCCGACGTAGGCAATGTCCGCTGTATTCTTTAAAGTTTTCTAGCTTTAAATATTTGGCTACTTCTTGGGGTACACCACTAATTTTATGAATGCCAACTACTTGTCGATGGCACATTCCGTCGACATATTTAATAAAAAACCGACCTTCATTAAACATTTTTGGACGAAGCGCAACATACTTTTCGTAAAATTTCAAATACTTTTCCCCCATAACCGTAAATGATCTGGGTTTTTTCGTTTTGGTATCAGGAATTTTTACCAATAAACCTGCTTTAATATTTTCAATATCTTCAGTTTTTATTTGTAATAGTTCGTGACACCGACAAGCTCCGCTAACGCCAAAGATTACAACAATCTGAAAAAAATTCGTAAAATAAATATAAGCTCTTCATTAGGTTATAAACATACTTTCATCATCAGGAATTTGAAATCCGGAGCCGTGTCTAAGAAAACTTCTATTTGTTCATTAGTTAAAACCCTTGATTTCTTTGGAACGTATCCTTCTCCTTGTTTCTTTATAAACGCTTTTAATTTTGAATACTTTCCGATTTCTATGCCATTTTTTATATTTAAAGTTGCTTTCACCATGGAATACTGCGACCACAGTGTGGATGACTTCATTTTTGTAGCCAATTCGGAAAAATATACCAATAGGACGTTCTCAGAATAAGTTTGAATCTTTTTCCCTTCGCACCATTTGATGAAGCGGGTATACGCGCACTCATACACTTCGCGCGATTTTGTTGGTAACAAGTTCAGTACCACGTTTTGTGCTTCTTCTAGCACATCGGGAGGTAACTCTTCTTCAGGATTCATTATTAACACTGCAAACGTTTTCACAAAACAATGGTATGTAAGCAAACAAAAAAAGCCTTGACGACGTGGATACCAGACTACTTTGCAGATTGATTCATTTCTGCTCGATATTATTGTTATCAATATTTTGTATTTTTGAGATTTACTTTTTGGCTGGCGAAAAAGTAGTATGTTTCATTCGGATTAAAAGTCAGTTTTTGACTCGCAATTTTGCATCCGCTCGGCTTCGCTTCGCTCCGCCTCGCAAATGCAAAATTTGCTCGTCGCAAAAAATGGCACTTTTAATCCTAATAAAACAATCTACTATTGTCTTCACGTCCTATTTAAACAGAAGTTTCAGTCACAAAAACAAATACTTTGTCAATTCTGCATAATTTGTTTCCTCTATATAGTTAAAGTGGAACAAATTTAACAACTCTGTAACGAAAATCTTCTACAGTTCAGCGTTTTCATAATTTTAAAATAATGTATTTTTTAGTTAATTTGGGCTAAAACAACATTAGTGGGTTGTGGTTATGCCTTCTATGAGGAACGCCAAAGATTTACCAAAAAGTATGTGTGCAACTACGGGCCAAGGTAAGTTGACATAATTAAGAGGAAGATAAATAAATAATTATTATGAACTTTTACAGTGGGAATGTAATAGGTGAAATGCCTTATCGTTTGGGTTACCCCAACTGTTACAATCATCGTCTAAGTCCCTCTAGAAAATATTCTGGACTATGCGGTATTATATATTTTTTTACGTATTTCTAATAAATCTAACACTATGTGATTTTTTCAGAAGAACCAGGAACCAACCATTATCGAAAATATGGAAGTGATTATTTTTTCAACATTAAATCTCACAAAGAATGCGATGGGAATAGCTGTGGCAATTATAATAATGTTTTCCGATACTTTCATTTCTGAGATAAGTAATTAGTTTATAAATTTTGATAATACATACAAATAAATGGAACATTGAATTTTATTCTTAGCCTTGCTGCTTAGGTCGTTAGAGAATTTACGTGGTATAGACTGCGAGAGACATCTGGAAAGAAACGCAGGAACTGTGAAAGCTCTCATTCCAAGGTTTTTATCTACCAAGTGAAGGCTGTATTCAGCTTTAGTGTAACAAGCAAAGATGTCAGCAGTGCGTCTTAGATAACACTTCATTTTGTAACAGTTTTAATGAAAAAAAAAAAAATTTAAGAACGAAACGTAATATGTAATTGTATTTAACGAATTATTTAAGACAAATACACAAATATCTCGAGTAACTAGAAATAATTAAATAAGCGTACCTAATGATTACGTATAAGTAGATACTTATTAAACTAATACTTAATTTCTTGTATCATATGCATAATATAAGAATACGTGTACCTATTTAATTTAAAACGGTTGCTTCCTTGATTCACAAGTTTTAATACGGAGCATACGAGCTTAAAAATATTTTTAATAACATTTTTTTGTACCTTAAAACAGCTCGTAAATTACCGGTTTGTAGGCAATTTTTGGTTTCCCAATAAGGTAAAGTTTCAGAACCATTAATTGTCAACATTAATTCCTAGCCTTGATATTTGCAGTTATTAGGTATTACTACCCTATATCGGTGTTTTTGTCTTTTCTTGTTTTTTTTTTGCATCATGAAGAGATCAATAGTTAGTTATTATATCTATCATTTGCAATATTTTCTTCTTTAGATATACTATGAATAAGAAGCTATATCGAGACGAGGTTAGCGCTGGTGCTTGGCTGTTTTTTCTGTCTTTGATTTTTGTCGTAGGTACTTGAATGCACACAAAAAGTTTAAATGTGAACAAAATCAGACAAATAAGTATGTATCAAACCTGTATTCGGTGAACTTCGCAATTTACTCGTATGTCCATTGTTAAAGCTGTATAAGCACAAAAGTGTATATTACACCTCCATGATAGTGTTGGTTATTGCCTTTAAAAGAAACAAAAGTGATAAAATTGAAAATTCTAAATACCACCAAGAACTGGCTTTCTTGAAATTTGAGTCAGATAATATTTAGCCTTAGGTAAGTACACATTGGAATAGGCTTGTTTCAATAGTGTTTCGTAATAAAGAAAGATTTACAAATAAACGCAAATTAACTTCATTAAAAAAAATAAACATGTTTGTCTCTTCTCAAGAGACATAAACATGTTTAATTTTTCCTTCCAATAATGATCCATACCAAAATAATATATATTGTACAAAACGTTTTGATATATCAAATTTATGTCATGTCCTTATCTGTATTACACAAAAATAATTGTTCATTATTTAATTTTTCAGTTCAGTTTGTGTTTGGTCTTATTGCTGCATACAAGTGTTTAACAAAAATGCCTTTGAAATTCATTTTATTCGTTCGTTACATATGACATAATGACTTATAGAAAAATTTATCAGATCTTGTATGGGGGCTCTCCGACGAAGTTACCTCTAAAAAAGGTTATACACACAAAACGTGACACCGCAATAAAAAACAAACTCACGCAGGGCCATAATTGCAGACGTACAGCTTTTCATAGTTTTTCTCTCCAACGTTTTGAATATACCACGCAAATCCGCAACCAACAAGATATGTATCCGCCCAAACAACCTGAAAATTTTTAATTCATTTAAAAAATGTTTTCATTTAGAAGAACGTTGAACAGAAAGTACGAAAACATTGTTTAGGTACGGTGTGGAAATACCTACTTACCTACTTGTACTTAACGTAAACATTAAATTTAAATAGGATAAGACAGAATTTATCCGAAAACTAGACGAATAGGTTTTTTCTAATTTTGAAAAATTAATAGCATAAAATTACGTACACTAGAAAAAAGTTCTGTTAAAATAATATGTATACATCTCCGGATCTAGTTAGAAGAGGAAAAAATTTTAGACATTTGTTCACTTTTAGTTAAATAAAACACTTTCTAAGTTTAAAGTATTTTACTGCCTGATACTGTAACATATGTTTCGATATACTGTACCTTCTTCAGTTTCTACCTAGTTTTTTTTAATATAAAAAAGTGAATTACTGGAGTATAAACAAGTAACCGCTACATCCGTACAAACGTTAGGTATTTGTGATTTTCTAAAAAAATGTCAAAGAAATAAAAATTGTTGTTTCGTTTAATATAACGATGTAATTCTGCAGTTAAAACTACAGAAGTATCAACATGTGTTTAAATAAACAATAAAAATTAGGTTTTTTTAAATTAAATTATCTGGATAAAAAATGTACTTTGAAAAATCTGCATCTTAAAGTTTTTATAATTGAAAAATGAACTTGTTGTAAGTCAAGCTAAAATTTTTATTTCTTTGACTTTTTCTGTAAAATAACAAATGAAAACAATGGCTCCTGTACACTCCGGGAACCTACTGTAGATCAGTTTTATTAACACTGTCTCGAAATTTTTGTTCCTCTTTTGTCACACATTGTGTATAAAACCAGAAAAGCAAAATTTTACCTGAGTATAATGCCCTGTGACTCCACGTTTTTTATTTGGGTAAATGAAATTTTTGTGTTCGCTAAACCATGACTGGATAGCATATGCCCATTCCGTCTTATTAGTTGCTTGTGTTGAGCTCGTCCACATTAAATTTTGCCCAACCAGAAATCGATCTAACAAGATAAAACCAACAAACCTAACGTTAGACAGTATTCAAGAATATATATTACCGTCAAGTACTTTTACATGTTCAAATTCACATGTGTTGGCAATTTTTTGTGCTTCCTTTGCTAGTTTAGAATCCCATTTCTATATAAAATTCACATTAATTAAAATATTTATCTCATCCATTGCCGGTGTAAATATGACTTACCAAAGTTTTAAGGTTTTTTGCTTTTGGTTGCCCACTTATTTTTCCTTGAGAAATTAAAGAACGCAAGTGATTGTGTGTATTAACAATTACATTTTCATCAGTTTTGGTGACTCCGTTTCCTACAAAGTCAGAAAAAATTTATGAATAATTTTATGTATAATAAAAGTGAGGAGTAATATTTAATTAAGTACGGTATTTCACAAGTTGAAAGATTTTCGTAATGATCTAACAATATTGAAATGAAAGTGAAATATCTGTATACTAGATTCAGTTTATAAAATCTCTAGTTAAGTTCGAGAGTTATCATGACTTACATTTCCTTACAGCATTGTAAAATTAGTAAGGATTCTAAATTAATTAAAAAAAGAAAGATTAAATATACTTACCAAGTAATTGCCCACATTTGGCATCAGATGTCGCAAATGTTAGGCAAAAGATAACACAAAGAGCCAATAGTGAATTAACCATTTGAAATGGCAATATGTAACGAAGAATTAAGTAAAAAATTCAGAAAAGTGTGACTTTAACGGTGCAGTAGCGTTTAAGTATTTCTTCTTCGTGTGAAAACAGTAAATTTAATTATGCAAACAACAAAATATACTTAAAGTTAGAACAGTAAAATTTACTATTTTTGCACGATTCTGGAAACAACAATTTGTCCATTATCTCATGTTTACTTTGTGACTTTGTGACGTCTTATTGCCTATTGCGTGACATTTATTGAAGTGAATTACTTCCTAGTCTATAAATTTTATCGATCATTTTAATTTAGTTTTGAATAATAAACTCAGAAAACAGTTTACCAAGTTATATATTCCAATTGTATTGTTATATTTATGTTACTCAAAAAAATCATAATAATAATGTTTAAAAATGATACAACATGACGTTATCTTGCAATTATATAAGAAAATTATAACAAAATTTGGTGCTGCTATATAAATCTGTTGTAGTACAGTTGCTTTAGGTACATTAAGACGAAGCTCCGGTGACGGACTGTCAAGATCTGGAATTTCGCCGATAACGCGTGGGGGCGGCGTGTCTCAGTGCCAAGCCTTGGGCCGACAAGTGTCTCTAAAACAGAAACACGTCTGGCCGACCTAGGCTTATGCGGACACCTTTACGCTACCGAGGATGGCGCCTTAGGTCGGGAGCGGCGCTGCTCGGGAGCCAGCTCCCTCTCCGAGGAGAGAGCACCGGGGATAGCTATAAAACCGGAGACACGGATCTCCAGGTGGTTTGGTGAGGACCCGCGGAAACAAGAAATAAGATAAAACCGAGGAAGAACAATTGAGTTTATTTATTATTTCCCTGCCATCAGCTACACGGCTAAAATAATCTTAAATAACTACAAAACAAACTTCACAAAAAAAAAGAATACAACGTCCGTCACAGTCGTTCCCTCCTGGACGGTAACTTCCTTCATGACGGGTTCCTCCTGGACCTGGGGGTGCCGACCTTGAAACGGGAAATCGCGGGGGGACCGAACACGATGGGTGGTCAACGGTATCGGCTTTTTGGGGTGACGGAGAACAATCCGGTCTCAGCGGTACGATTTTTCGCTGGGAGGCGGCGATTCGAAAACGGTACGCAAACAGGCAGAAAATCCAAAACGGTCCTTATGCGAAAATTCGCTTACAACATATATGTAACATTATTATATAATACTGTTTTGAGACGTTATTTCTTTATTATTTATTTATTATTAATATTATTATTATTATTATTGACCACCCCTACAGATACACCAATTATTAGTGCTCATTCACAATGGGTATAAAGCATAAGGATGTCATAAGCATTAATGCATAAGAATTTATGTTTAGTGCTCTATGCTTCTATTCGTTCACAATGAGCATAATGCTTATACTTTATACCCATTGTGTATGACCACTTATGCTCATTGTGAACGAATACAACCATAAAGCACTAAATATAAATTCTTATGCATTAATGCTTATGACATCCTTATGCTTTATGCTCATTGTAAATGAGCACTTAGGGTGGTATATTAGGGCTGAATTAGAACATTAAAAATGCATAATTAAATAGTTAAAAATTAATAGACAGTTATAGACGTGCATTTTTGATTTGGCGTAAACTACAATTGAAAATATCAAATTTGTTCCGATAATTATTATAATTTCGGCATTATGTTATAGTTATACAGAAAAGTATTAAAATTTGTTGCTGTCATATGGTGCAGTTCTAGTTTATAACAGCAACAGCATTAAATAACAAAGTTATGGTGCCGCGCTTATTGTGATGTTAGTTAGATCGTAGTTATCTAACAATGCAATTTGTTCTCGTAACACAAATATAGCAAAGTCTTAGACGAGCATATGTATTTAATCTACACTCTCCGGCATGAAAAATGGGCCAGCTAATATTTTTCTGAGTACAGAGCTTCAACGTTTTTACTACGCTTATTTTTGATATTGTTTCTTGACCAGCATATTAATTGAGTGTACCTGTACCCCCACTTTAGATGAGCTTCAAGAATCCAACAAGTATAAACAGAAAATTAATTTCGTGCGATGCCCTGAAGAATTGCAGCAGTCTTACAGGTTCGTGGAGGAAATACCCGTTATTGACGTCCTTAAACAGTGTGTTAATGATCATTGATTTTGCTTTTTGTTGAAACTTTTTTTTTCAGCTTTGTTTGATTTTATCATTTTCTATTAAAATATATAGTTTTTAGTTCTTTTTGGATAAAAAAATACAATAAACGTTGCTAACAACATCAAAGTATTGCAACCGAAATCGTACTTTGTTTTTCACATTTTCGGATCTGCGAAAAAAAGAATACGGGTGGTCCGTTTTTCGTGCTGGTGAGTGTAGTTACATGCACAGTACAAAAACATGGAACAAGCCTCGACCACTGTCAGAAACAGAATACAAGTGTCGTCGTTAGAAATTATGGAAAAAAAAATTGTAAGTAATTTATTTTGTTGATTACATATTGTTTTCTAAATGGAAATAAAACGAAAAACCCGACATTACCGTACTATTAGATTTGAAGTTTGACATAGGGTACAAAAAAGACAGGTTAGAACGGACTTATACCAATGGCAGTCTCAATGCCAGATTTTGGAACTGTTGATGTTTCAAAAACATTTTAAAGGGTATGATACTCCAAATATTCTACCAAAACTCAGACATGCGCACAAAATTCAAAAACTCGCGAAAAATTTGAAAAGTAGCGACGAACTGTGATCGTCGACCTTGAATTAACGACATAAAATTATGGAGGGAATAATTTTATGAAGTTTTTTTTAAGAGTTGTATTATCTTAGCTACAAAGTCCTCTCGTTCTTTTCAAATGCAAAATTACAAATTTCGATAACATCAACACAGCTTGTTGTTAAATGTACACAATTCTTTAGTTGGCAACATCTTATCTAACGTGAATGGATGACAATACCCAAATTATTACTCAGTGTGCTACAAATTTAAATATCTACAAACAAAATCAAAATATATCAGAAGTTCAAATTACAGATTGCGGTAATTTCGACGTTATTTTTATGTTGCCCACGGACTTCCACACACCACACCTTGCGAGCATGGCCTGGTGCATCCGAATATGGGCATCCTAGCCTTCGCAGAGTATCAGCCCAAGGTCAGACTGCGCATCTACGCTAAAGAACTGATATGAGCCAAGTCGGAAATTCAACAATTCATATATACATTATTTTGTACATCTGACAATGTATTAACACCACATTACCTACAACAACCAAACGATGAGATCTCCATGATGTAAAAATTCAATAAATCAAAATTAATTAATCCCTATTACATCGTGAATCGAGTTCCTCATATAACAATTAAAAAAAAACATCTTAAATATGCTCAAAATCACAATAGTGTCGTCCGGTACACACTTCGCTGTCAAAGAAGTGCACGGAAATAATGTTCAAGATTCAGGACGTAAAATACACAAATGATAGTAGTAGCAGCATGAAATCCCTTTCCCTCATCCAATTCACGAAGGCATTTTGTTACTAATAATCATCAATGTTAAAATTTAATCTCGAAAATTACTATCTTAAAATTCCCAAATAAGAATCTAATAAATTTATGTAATAATTTAGGAAAACCATCCATTCCTTTAGACATATTACAACTAAATATTATAAATAATTTCTTCATTGTCATACGAAAATAGAAATGCCTAATTTCTAGCGATTTCGAAATATAAAACAACAATTTTATTCCTTTACAAGTCCGAATGCGTCGAGGAAAATTCAACAGATGGTTAGTCTAATTTAAACAGTTTGTAACGTAATGGGTGGAATTTCGGAACGTCGCAATACGTAAGATAGATGAGTTATAAATTAAAATCATCGTGATTTTTTACTTACACATGGGGGAAAGGATGGTGTCTTTATAATTTACAACATAGTAGTTCTTCGGTTAAATTTTACAAATAAAATAAAAGATATAAGTTTCAAATCTATGTGACCTCAACACTGCAGACTTGCGTCCTTTCACTACCCCTGACTAAATGAACCTGAATGTCGAGTGGGGATGCAAAGGATCCTCACTACCTGTGAAAGCTTGCAAAGTCTACATTAATGAAATGCTTTTATTCTTCCGCTAAATTTAATTCAAACCCGGACACTACAATTTTTACCAATGTTATAATAATTGAATTATAATTTGTTTGTACTTGCACGTTTTGTGATAACAATTTTGATGTTCGTTAAAGTTTCAGTGTTATAAAACGTAGTAGTGCCCTAAGAATATGAAAATCACCACTAAAGGTTTTTTTTTTGCTAGCAACTGAAATCAGCAGATGCAGCAAGGGATGCATTTTTGAGACATTCTCTATACACAAAATCATATCTGTCTTCTCGTCATTTGAATAGGTATAATACATTTTGCATAAATTGTAATAAACTTGTAGAGTTTATCAAAAAATGACAATGATAATGATTCATGGGCATCGTGGATTCAAACTATGACTTTTTAAACAAATATAATGAAGTAAACTATGAAAAGTAATGTTGGTTGCCTAAAAAATGTTCCCAGGCTCACTATTCCTCATGAATCACCCTGCATATGATTGATGATAAATGGACAAGTGTAGATACTTTGCACGTACCTAATATTTATCTTACAACGTTTTTAGAAGGAATAGACACATAAATTATGATTAGCAGTTTATCATATTTACCCCAACCTTGCAAGACATGAACGCAGTTGTTTTAGCATTTTCTAAGACAAATTATTATCGAATTGTTTGCTCAGTTTTATCTATTTTTTTTTTTTTCAAAAATGTAAATTTCTAAGTTAAAAGGTAGGTAGGTTAAAGGGATATAAAATTTATGTAGGATTTAGGTAACGAACATTTGGGATGATGTCATCCAATGGATGGTGAAGACGAACGAACAAATTTTGGTTAGTATTTACCCAATAGCACGCTAAAGTATATCCAAATTCCATAGTAATCGATCCAAGCAAACAGACAGAAGCGGGATCCGATTTTTTGTGGGTATCGCATATAAAATATTCACATATTACTAAATATGCGCAGTTACCGGTTAGTAACACCAATAAATTGTCGCTAATAACCGCCTACAAAACTGACTATCTTATTTAAATGCATTAAATAATACTAAACGAGACATGATTTTACGTAGCCACAAACACGATTATTTTTCAAGAAATTTCAAGTTGAATTTTAACCAACTCTTCTAGTAATTATTGTTGAAAAACAATTGAGAGATTAAAACTTTTATTTTGTTCTTCTGACCGAAATAACAAGTAGGTAAGAAGTAGGAATTTGTTACATAAACGATAAATCAAACAATAATTTATAAACATATAAATTTACTGCGGTACAGATTTTCAAAACAATAAATTTAATTCAAATGCTATTTATGTATTGTTATGTCCGATATGGCGGTTGACCAATATAGTTACCCCTTTAAAAAATAATATAGTTATTAAAAATAAATATGTATTACTAATTGAAACTTACCCAGGACCGTAATTACAAACGTAGAGTTTTTCATACCAGAAACCTTTACGATACCACGTGAAACCACAACCAATTAGGTAAGAATCAGCCCATACAACCTAAAGTAGTCAAAGATTGAGTCACTATAATTTTAAGCAAAGTACAAGATAATGCAAAATAAAAAAGTACTAATGATACAGTGAGTCACATAAGTGTGATCAAAGAACACTATCAGCTTGTTTTTTAATAAATAAAAAATATAACATACTTGAGTATAATGCCCTGTGACTCCTCTAGATCGATTGGGATAACTAAAGTCTTTATGCTCATTAAACCAACGTTGAATAACGCCTTGCCAGTCTGTTCCTTTACTTTTATTACTTGAGCCAGTCCATCCTAAATTCTGGCCGACATAAAATCGACCTTAAAGAATATTTTCAATAATTCACACATTTTAATATTTATTTTCACAACTTACTATCGTGTACTTTGGCATGCTGGAACTCACAATTATTGGCTATTCGTTGTGCCTCTTTTGCCAATCTGTCGTCCCATTTCTAAAAAGAAAACATGTTTCCTATAAAAATGATATGTAATTCGACTGATAATACGATAAAAAAATGTGACCCACTCTTATGACGACAGCTTAATTTTTTTTAAAGAAGAATTGTTCCGAAATTATATAAATTAATATATTTACTTCATAGTTTCGGATGATTTTTGTTTCTTCAAGGGATCCAATATATTCTTCAAAAGTTTTCACACGGCAAAATGTTTTCAAAAAGCATGATTGCATTATATTTTATGTACTTTCAAAAAATAATAATTGTCGTCGCACAAAAATAAACTTTCTTTTTTCAATTAAATTCAGTGTTTCAGACATTATTTAAAAATTTAAACTATTTTTGCTCATAACATTTTTCCAATTCTCTAATGTGAATCATAAATTAAAATTTGGGTAACTTAAAATTATAACTTTTTGTAAACATAAAAAATGGGACACAAAAAACAGAAATAACTTATACCATTGTTTTTAAATTTCTACCCCTTGGTTGTCCAGGTACTCTGCCTTGAGAAATTAATGTTCGCAGATTATTGTGTATTTTGACAATTGTATTTCTATCAGCTGCACTTACTTTGTTTTCTAAAACATAAATTAAAAATATTTTTAGTATATTCACAACAGGTTGTAAACATGAACAGTAACCGTTGTGTACCCGTATAATAAATTATTTTTCATAAAAATTCATCACTTTGATAAAAAGTGATTTTTAATGTTATTTCACGAACAACCTTGTACACATACTTTTACATTTTATCTAATTGAAAAGCCAGACTTCATACACGATTTAACACATTATTTTGTTTGCATTTATTTATTAATGCATTCAGTGCAAAGTAAAAATCTAGTACAAAACGAGTAAATAATAAAAGGTATAAAACAAATAATTACTCACCAAAAAGCTGTCCACACTTGGCACTACACAGCGCAATGCCAATGGAAAAAATAACACCAAGAGCAAGGTAAAAATTTGCCATTTCTCGTGTAGTTCTAACTGGTGGGAATCATTGAAGACTTCTTAATTTATACTATGCCGCTGCTCGGGATTTTCGTTGAATCTCATAGTAAACAGTTTGAAAATGATAAACTTAACGCAATAAAATTTACTGCGGTTATATTATTTCCACCAACACAACACAATTTCCTTCATGACTTATTTCCTCTAATCAGCAAACTAACGTAAAAAGGTACCTTTATGTTTAGCGAGGTGCATACACATACAGTAGATTTACTATGCTTTATCGTAAAAGCATGCGTTCAAAATCATAGGTAGATGTAGGTATGGCAAGGACAATGGTCATTAATTTCCATCGGTGTATTATTATAATGAAATACCTGTACATCGGCGTGATAAGAGAATTTGCTATTGAACTTAGTACAAAACGTGTGCTGCCTTAATCATCACGCTGTGAGTCATTATTTTGATAAATTTTGCGAAATGAGAAATAAGTTTCGTTATCGCCGAACCAAAACATTTGTTTGCGTTGTAGAAAAGTTAAACCTGAGATTCAATTTTATTTACACAAATACGTTACACTGTTTACATTGTTGAAAGCGAAAATTAAGAAATTATTTAATGTTGCATTTAAAAAATGGGCAACATAATAATCTTACCAGTGACACATGTATGGATGATACATGTCTACAAAAAGTATAACTTGTTATTTTTATTATGTTAATAGAGAGTTTATGTAAGGTGTTTTAACGATCTGGTACTGAAAAATTTGATAACTCATTAAAAAAAATATTTTTATTAATTTTGACTCATTTGATTAGGGGCACATTCTAATAATATTTTTTCTTTTCAATGCATAAACGCACATGTATATTATTTTTAAAAATTTAGGTTTATTGCATAAAACGTTTATTTTGCCTTGGCATTAGAGAAGTGTGTACACATAGTGGTCTATTCGAAGCTGTTTTTTAATAAACCACTACTTTGATGTGCATTATAAACAGGTGTTCCAAAATTGCCGCAGAAAAAGTACAATATCAAACAGATTCCGTGAACTTTAGCTGAAAGTTGTATTTTTCGTATCGGTCGTCTTGTTTTCAAGATCCAAAGATTTTTTATGGAAACATCTTTTATACTCCCACAAAATCATCAAAATAAAGCTAAAATATATATAAAATAATGCTGAAAATGCAAGTGTTCTCATAGTAACAACTTCATTAATTGGTTAAAATTTAACGGAAATCAAACAATGTGAAAAGAAATTAGACAAGAGTATTAGCAAGAATTAGAACGAAGTAAATGTTAAAAATTGCGTCTAGATATGTACAGGCACACGCGTTCACAAAAAATCACAATAGTGTTATTTTTAAAGGCTGTGTTGCGACATTTTATTAAGAGATAAACAGAGGTACGCGCTTTGTTGTACATTAATTAAATCAAATTTTAATATAGTGAGGTATTGAAAAGTGCGCCCTTACTGACTCACCCTGTATATACAAAAGTTAGTTTTCAAAATGAACAGAAAAGACAACCGAGTATCGTACTAGGAATTCCAAGAGTTTGACCCGCCACCCTGTGGTAAAAGACTGCTTTTAAATAGTCATATTTGAAAAACTTCCTAAACAATTGAAAAATGGTTCATTGTACAGGATATTTCAAAACTATGTACTTGTAAATATTTATTTTGACCGTAAATTATTCTGATGAAGTGGAACAACTAAAATAAATAAATGATAAAGCTGATCGAAATTGCTACCTTTCATGAAAGGTACTTAAAATAGTTAACTATTCACGTGAATCAAATTTACAAGTTAAATCCTTTTTTTTTTCAACTATTAATAATAATTATTAAAGTCAATAAGTCCCGAATACGCGTAGTTAAACCAACTGACTTTTTCACAAATTAAACTTTAAACTTTGAACTTGTAGTGGAATTTCAGTACAATAGAGAATTTATAAAAATGAGTTTTTTTTCCTGTGCAATTATATTAACAGATTTTAAAGAACTTTCAAGAAACTAGAGATGGTGTTTGCTAAACATGCGGCAAAACTTCAAGTGGTTATCGAGTAGGTTTTAAGTGAAGTCCAGCTCGACCAATTCAGCGTCTTTACATCTTGCGTTTAAAAATTCGCGAGCAGCCATACTAAAATGTGCGAGTGCATCATTGTGCATAAACCACATTACATTTTTTGTCGTTAATGGTGCATGATGTAGAATCCCAAGTGGTGATTCTTACAAAAAATTTCGATACATCGCACCGGTAAATCCTCCTGGTTGAAATAGTGGTTTTAGTTTTACTTCACTGTTATCATTCGGTATCTTCGAAACAACGCGTTTTTCCGAAAATTAAACAAAAAAGTTCTAAAATAATTCAAGCAATAATTTTCCCGCATGTTTAGTAAACAATCTGTATATTAATTTTAATAACGTGTGTCGCGTAACACTAATATTGCAAAAATGTCGTGTTAACATTAGGGACATTAAATATGTACATCATTTCTGAAATAATAATCGATAATAAGTACAATAAAATAAACTTACTAAGCTTATGAATCTAAAATTACAAAAAAAAATATCTGTAAGTATTTATAAATTACGACGACCGTTTTGCAAATTTTTTGTTAGAAACAAGCTACGAAGTTTTTGAAGAAAATAAATTTATTCCTTTCTAAAATACTACTTCTCAGCTTTAATGGATTTGTTAATTCTTGAATTCTCTTAACAAAACAGTCAAAAAATTACATATCTAAAACTTCGGGAAGTGCAGTATTTGCGTCAGGAAATTCTTTACCACACGTTTTTTTTATCGCAATGCAACAGAATGCTATGTGAATCAAATTTTAGCGTTTACTGGGAAATTTTGCAAAAACTTAAAGAAGACAAACTGCGGTATATCAGTCTGTGGTAACAGTTTTACACCACTCTTCCTGCATATCATTTGTTGTGTCTTCCTTTCATTTTCAAATATCCGAACATTTGATTATTGTACAGTTTCAGGGCACAAATATATTTAGATCCCAGATTTATCTTCCGTAACTCGTTATTTTTGCTTTTCGGTCAACAAAAATGTGGGATCTGTTCAATTTACAATTTTCTTGAACGCAGCTGTTGATGTAAAATGCTATCTACTGCAAATGATCTAGTCCCGAGTTCTTGCTGAATTTCCCTATGGTTTAAATTCCGATTTTCCGTAAGTAACATTCTTATAACAAGATTTAGGTATATTAAATAGTTCCGGCTACTAAAATTCCTTCACGTCTCGGTTCATTTTCTAACGTACACCGGCCACGTTTAAACTAAAAAAGTAATGTACATCTGTGAAGGTAGTACGCAGTTTTTCTATTTACAAATACATATACTTACTTTAGAATCACCGAAAAAACTTTTTGTTAGAATATTTAGAAAAATTTTTAAAAATAAATTGTTACCAAAATAGTAATTAAATAGTGGATTACTACTATTTTTCAATTTGTTATGTTTATATTTATTTTTTATTATAAGAATATTATCTTTAAAAACGTGGTTTAGGTGTTAGTGAGATGTAATTAAACACTTTGCAATGTGATTTATGTATTTTTTTGTAATAAAACGTAAGCTCAGGACACCTGTTTACGTAACTTATAAATAAATTGGTTCGCTTAAGCTTTTTTTTTTTAATTTTTGGCGCATATGCAACTGCATATCTCTGCATATATTAAGAAAGTTACTGCATATTTGCATACATTTGGTGCATATCATATGATCATATTTCTCAAAATTTTGCTGCATATTTTCCGCTCTCTATTGATGATTTTGGTTCTGTGTCAACTTTCTTATGTAATCGTAAAAGATGTTGCTGATCTACCACACATACTAACAAAATGGCCCTTATATCAGGGATGGTAGCAATATACGCAATATTAATTTGTTACTAAGTTTTAAACTTGTGCTTCCCAAGTGATAACTGAACTGTTGAAATACTATCATTTTAACTACTATCTAATTTTTTGGCGGTTTATAGTTTCCAACTGTGAAAAGCATGAATCAAATTGAAGCATTAGGGTTCTCAAAATGTTAAAACTCTTTTCTCTATTTGTGGTTTCTGAATTGGCCCTGTTTTTACCTTAGATCCCAAGATTGTTGGAAGGAAAAAAACTTAGAATTGTATAATTGTGTAAAGGTTATATATTTATCTCCTTCAAAAACTTGATGACGTTCATCTTAAAATTTTGCTAAATAAATCTTATTCATCATATCATTCAATAATGTGTTCATATTTTTACAATTGTTTGTAGGGGCATTTAAAAAACGAGTGAAACAGCAAATTTTACTGATTAAATCCAAAAAACGTTGACCTCATTTTCCTGAGATTTTGGGTATAGGTACAGTACTGTTGTTTTTAGTATTACACTGTGCCTATTCAATTTAATATGGTAGTGTCTACCAAAAATTTGGTAATGTTGACAAATTATATTAAAGGAAAACTCACTTGAAATATAGCGTAGCATACTTCTTTACCCATAATTTCGGAGGCTTTCACGGTCGGAGTCAATACATAATTGTTTTCCGGGTTGGGACTGGCATCTTCAGGAGCAGGATTGAGACATTAGGATTAAGTCAAAATAGCAGGGTAATTCAATATGTCAACCATACCAGAGGCGAAACTCTTCTGTTCCTGAAGATGCCACTTACGAAAGTGTGCGAAGCGTTGAGCCCAAAAACTCAATTAGCACGGTCCCAACCATGAAAACGATCATGTATTCTTTACTCACAGTTTAACAATCCACATCTAACTGTATTTTAACTTACAGCAGTTATCATCAAAAAAATAAAATTCGCAGAATCGAATCTTAAGAAGAAACTGGACTCGTTTAATAGTACTTCAGGGGCGAGAGAAATTCTATCTAAATAACTTTAAACTATTTCTTACTTCTCGATCGTAAGCTAAACCAATATGTAATAGGGCATATCTGGCGAATAGCTACTTTTATGTTTTATCGACGTTTCACGACCCCATAGATTATGAAAGAATAGTACTGATTGTACAAGTTTTTATTTAGGCAATTCTTTTATTTACTTATTTTTATTTTAAAAATTTTTACAAGTAGTCTGTTTTAATTAAGTAAATCATAAACGTTGGAAAAAGTTATAAAATATACGAAATAGGGAGGTACATAATAATATGTAGTTTTATACCTAAACACCTTCTGCAGAAACAACATTTCCTCGGTGTTGGCCTACAACATAAAGAAATCAATTAGGCACTGAAGAACGGTAATAAAGATGACTGA